TGTGTGTGTGTGTGTGTGTGTGTGTGTGAGAGAGAGAGAGAGAGAGAGAGAGAGAGAGAGAGAGAGAGAGAGAGAGAGAGAGAGAGAGAGAGAGAGAGAGAGAATTTCTCTGCCATTCCCATTTTGAGAATCGCTAGAGCACGATGGAATTGGAGATGTTCTGAATGTTTAAAATGCTTAGCGCGATTGTGGAGAGGGAGGGAGGTAGGTAGGTCGCACATTCGCGTCCCGGGAGACGCGTTTGGATTAGAAAAAATAGCATGGGTAGAAGAGCAGTTTCTGGCATGATAGCCAGGAGCTTCAGCCGGCTTGCTCACTGACTGCCGCGGTTCCATAGATTGCATTTTTGGACAGTTGTGACGGTGGACCTGTTTTCAGTGAGAACAAGAAAGACATGAGCTTCCTCAGGGAAATAAACATACGGTATTCGTCAGACTCGTTTATTACTTGGAAGTTTTATTACCCCAACTACCACGATGCATTTGTCGCGACTGAACGAATCTCTACTTAGTTCTTTCCTTGGCCGTCCAAGCCTGATCAGCAATATACATATCCATCCAGGAAAGTCGACTTGTCCCTTCGAAAGATTGCCGGCTTTCCGTTGCTCTCCAGCCGCACCCCTCTCTGCCCTCCCCCTTGTTCCCTCGTAGTGTTTCTTCTTTACGCCCTCGTCCCCTCGTACTCTTCGTTTCGTCGCTCGCTCACTTGATATCGTCGCTTCTGTCTCTCTGTAGACAATGCCATCATGCTTGAGTACAATTACGTTAGACGCAGTCGAGGTCGTTGTTTCCTTTACTTAGTTCTGCGTGGAAACTGACGTCCATAGCTTGTTTTCTGCCAGTCACGTTGTTTCCTCTCGTAGCGAGTTCTCTGTGCTCGTCTATTGATTGATTGATTGATTGATTGATTGATTGATTGGTTGGTTGGTTGATTGGTTGGTTGTTGGGTGGCCGCTCTCTGATCTGCTCTGATCGTGTGGCCTACCTCTCTTCCCACTCTCTCCGAGGAGTAGTGACAAGCCATGGCTTTCGTAAGCAACTGAAGCTTCGGCATCCTCGGTGTTGTAAGCAGCATCTACAACTCAGGTTGGGTGAGTGTGTGCTTTTGCCCCTGCATTCAGCTGTTTTCCTTTTTTCTTTTTCGTTTCCCTAGTATTATTAAAATCCAATCGTAACCCATCCGCTCGCCTTCTTTCTGATTTTCTGTGTCCGTCATCGTCTTTCCTCACGCTCTGCGGTAATCTCTCAGGAGGCCGGTACGGTAAGCGAGCCGGCCGAAAAACAAGTGTCCGCCGTCCGGTTCTTGGCCAGCGCTGGTTTTTTTTTTTTTTTTTTTTTTTTTTTTTTTTTTTNTTTTTTTTTTTTTTTTTTTTTTTTTTTTTAACTCAAAAGAACAGCACTGATTAAATTACGCTATGTGTGTTTCGTGACGGTGGCGTTTATCGCCCACATTGGAATATCTTACGAGCCGACTCGAAGGTTGAATATCTTACGCTTAGCCTAAAGGGGTGTCGATGCCCATCAGATTCCTTTCTCTCTTCTCTTTTTCGATCTTGTCTGTGATGGTTGTCTTGTCTGTAGATGCTTGACTTGACTTTGTACTCATGGTTGTCTCTCTTTTGCATTTCCCGTTGCGTCGACCATTGTTACCAGCTGGCAGCCCCTAATCCAATCCAATACGATCTGATCAGCCGACTTGTCTCTGACACTCCGGCAGAGACGATACTACGATAGGTAGTAGAAGGGCCTTTACCCGATTCAGGGCCTGAATGACGAATTCAGTATTTATTGAGGCATCCTTCGGCCAGAACCTAACTCGTGAAAAGCAGATCAAAAGGCATGTTCTCTGTGTCAAAAGTCACATCCTAACTAAGTGAAAGGTCACGTCTAAGGTCAAGTTGTGCCCCTGGACGAACAGTCACAGTATTCAGGCTGTAAAGGTCATATCTGTTCGTCCAGGGGGTGTGCAAGTTATGTCTGTTCGTCAGGCTGTAAAGGTCATATCTGTGTCAAAAGTCACATCCTAACTAAGTGTATGTGTCTGTTCGAGCAGTAAGTGTGTCTTTTCGAAATAGAAGTCAAAGGACAGGTCCCAGTCCAGTCAAGGTCCAATAATCAGTCTAGATTCAGGGCAGAAGTAATCAGTCTAGATTCAGGGCAGAAGTTCGAAATTCAGGCCTAAGGGCCGCGGCAGCAGCAGACCCTGAGGGAAAGGTACTGGGACACACTCTACACAGCCTGGGACAGGGGAAAGGTTCCAAGGGAGGCTGATTCAGGCCTCGATAGGCCAGGCCATTGGTAAAACAGAACAGACCAGCCTCCCACGCAACAGATTCACCAGTAGCATTGATGCGTGGAACTGCTGTCGCACTTGTGCGCTAGCTGCCTGGGTGAGCGCTGGCAGGAGAAGCTGCGCTAAGAGAGAGAAGGCTGGGCGCTGGCTTGCAGAGGCAGCCAGCCATAGCTGCGCCAGCAAGTTAGTAGTAATAGAAGGGTTAGTAGTAGACTTCAGTGAGTAGCATTCAAAGTAGATTCTGGTAGATAGGGAGTGTGCATGCATGTTGAGACAAGGGAACCTGGACAGAGATCTTGAGAGAAGAGGAAGAGAGAGAGGAGACAGGTTTTGACATTGGATATGGTGGATACATACCTGTTGGCACTACACTTGTGATTTGGGGCAGTCGCTGGCTGAGCCAGGCCCTGTGTGATGGTTGAACGAAGGAGAGACATGTACTTTGTGGGCGCTGAACTCTTGAGCTCGAGATACTCTTGTTTAATATGATTTGATAATATAAGCTGCGCTATCTGGTTCTCATCTCATCTCATCTTGGTTTTGTGTGACATAATTCAATCTGTGTGGTGATGATTGTGCATGCGAAGTGATGTACTCCAGCAAGTTGAGGTCAGTCAGGACCCTTGCAGTAGAGAGCCTCCGGCTGTTTTGGTTAATCCACCAGCCAAACAGCTTCTCCAGACAACGCGGACGATCATATTTATATTTATATATATATATATATTACTTATTTATTTATTTATTGTATCACATCACTTTCACGTGGGCCATCACCAGCTGAGCGCTTACTCTTGTTGACGTCATCCAACCGCCATAGCCGGCAATATAGCATATCTACTGTTTGACGCTGGCCAGACGCTCCTTCTTCCTTCCCGACCCCGAAGCTGAGCGCTCAGCTTAGTTAAAGTGCTAGTAMTCCTCCCGCCATAGCCGCCATAGCCGCCATCGCTGAATAAAAGCGGCACGATGTGGAACCTTGCAGCCTATGCGCCGGTTTGGTTCGACCGCACTTACCTTCGTCGATCGAGGAGTGCACGGATCGAATCCCTCCCGCCGCCGCCGCCGCTGCTTCCTGTCTTTCAAAAACTACGCGATTATGTGGCAAATGACAAGGATGAGGACTGGGTTATCCCGTCGGGACCCCGGCCGCTCGTCGGGCCTTATCAGCAGTGGTTGCTCATCGTTTCCTGCTTCGGTCTGTCGCTGTCCGCCAGCACCGTCTACATGTTGTGGAAGCTGTCGCTGTTCTGGCGGCTATGGAGCACGGCGTCCACCTTCTCCCTCTTTTTTTTGCTGGTCGAGTGGCACTTGTACCTGTCCATGTTCTGTCGGGCGATCGAGTTCTCGAGCCCGCCCACGTGTCGGAAGCAGCTGAGGTTGCCCCCTTCGGGACCCTTTCCACGTGTGGCGATCCTGATCACCAGCTGCAACGAGGAATTCGACGTGTTGCAGGACACCGTGCTGGCGGCGCTGGCGCAGAAGTACCCCCACGAAGCGTACACCGTGTGGGTGCTGGACGATGGCGGCGACGACGAGCTGCGTGACTGGGTGGAGGCGCTTGCGCAGGAGTCGGGGCGGCGTCTGCGGTACCTCCGCCGGCCCAAGCCGAAGGGAGTGCCGCATCACTTCAAGGCGGGCAACCTGAACCACGCCCTGGCCCGGATCACGGACGAGTTCATCGCCGTCCTGGACGCCGACATGATCACCTCCCCCGCCTTCCTCTCCAGCGTCCTGCCCCACTTCGCCTCCCCGAAGGTCGCCTTTGTCCAGACTCCGCAGGCGTTCTACAACACCCGGCGCGGGGATCCGCTGAACGGGAGCCTGCACTACCTCTTCGACATCGTGCTCCCCTGTCGCGATGCGGGCGGCAGCGCGCAGTGCKTCGGGACGGGRGTCGTCTTCCGCCGCAGCTGCYTGAGCGACGTCGGATTCTTCCAGACGGGCGCCCTGACGGAGGACATCGGAACATCCCTGCAGCTGCACTCCCGCGGCTGGGACTCCGTCTTCCTCAAGGAGCGCTTCCAAATGGGGCTGAACCCCTGGACGCTGGACAAGTACATCAATCAGCAGCAGAGGTTGTGCTTGGGACAGCTACAGGTCATCTGGCAGCGCGGGCTCATCTGGATCAAGGGCCAGGACCTCCCCCTCTACCGCAGGTTCATCTATTTCCAGCACCCTGTGCATTCCTTCCTGGCATTCCCCACCGTAGGGCTCATGCTGCTGGCGCAGGCGCTGTGCTTCTTCGACCCCTCCTTGCTCCCCCTTGCAGCCACCGAGAACGACTACCGCGTGCTCATGGTGCTGATGACCCCCCACCTCCTCTTCGGCAAGCTTACCGGCCAGGCCACCCATCTCCGCCTCCCGGGTTTCCTATTTAGGCAACAAGTGCGCATCCGCGGAGAGCAGTGGTGGTGGTGGATAGCTCCCTACAAGTGCATGGCCGTGCTCCGCTGGCTTGCGCCCTGGATCCCGAAGACGTTCGAAGCCACAGGCAGCCGGAACCCAGAGA